AGCCTACAATAAAGTAAAATAATCAGGCGATAAAAAATTCGAAGTGTTCCAGGTCATTTTCGCAAGATATTTACATTTTAAGTTGCATTGTTAATAAAAAAAATTTGAAAGTACAAGATTTTTTGTAAATTCTTTTGATTGGTATTAAAGCATATTCTTTTGTAAAAACATCAAGCTATCAACGAAGATTTTTTATATAGTTGTTAAAGGTCAAATAAACATGCGTAATAATTTATTTTATTTTTTTTTTATGAAATATGACTAGGCAATAATGTTACTCATACGCCATGTATGATCTATTAATGACTTCACGAATCACGAAGTATAACTTTTTAGATTTCCATGACAGGATATACTTCCTGCAGGCTTTATTAACATCTTTATAACGCTATACCATTTATAAAAATCCGGCATCAAATAAAGAAGTTGTAGAAAAAAAAATCGATTTAGCGGTTCTTACAGGGCGTCGAAAAAAAATATTACTCTCCTGAAATACCCTAATAGCAAGTGTTTAAAATCGATGGTTTTAAAGGGTGTAAAAAAAACTATTATTACACTCCTCAAATACCCTTAATAATGTATCTGCATTAGGGTGGTTCAAAAAAAAAAATTCGGAATTTTAGTGCTCTACCTAGGATTGTGCTATATCGAAAGAATATACCCCTATTTTTAACCGACTTGAAAAAAGGAGGAGGTTATCAGTTCGTCGGATTTTTTTTTTTAAGAAATTGGCGATAATCTTTAATTTTTTATATGTGATTTGAAGTCGGTTTTTTTTTGCTTAAAAATGTTTGTTTTATATTGAAATCTAAAATATTTAGAGGTCGCTTAACGTTTATCCGTGTATGTATTTTATATGGAGAAAAAAACAACTTTTCGTAGAAATGGAATAGAACTCTTGAAAATCAATGTTTTTCAATCGGAAAACTCTGGTTCTCTTCAGGTGACTTCCAATAATAATACCCAATATTTTATTTAAAAATTTTTGAATACGAAAGATTTTTTATTGCTGCCCTCATTGCATTGTCTGGGGTTTTTGGCGTACCTATAAAGTATAGTTACTATGAAAAAATTGTTAAACGGGAGTCTCCTGAAAATAAACAGAGTTTTCCGATCGAAAAATATTGATTTTTATGAATCCTATACAATTTCTACGAAAAAATAGAACAATCTTAGTCTGATTTGGCTGGTTATCTCGCAATTATATATCCTAGCCTAATTGTTGTTTTCTTTTTGTTTGAAAATATGAATATAACGGGTGATTTTTTTGAGGTTAGGATTTTCATGCATTAGTATTGCCAGATCACGTGGGATTTCAGACATGGTGTCAAAGAGAAAGATGCTCAGTATGCTTTGACATTTCATCATGAATAGACTTACTAACGAGCAACGCTTGCAAATCATTGAATTTTATTACCAAAATCAGTGTTCGGTTCGAAATGTGTTGAATGTGTGAAAAGTTGGCAGAAAATCCGCTTTTTTATCGACAAATTTTGTTCAGCGATGAGGCTCATTTCTGGTTGAATGGCTTCGTAAATAAGCAAAATCATGCGATTTGACGCCTTTAGACTATTTTTTGTGGGGCTACGTCAAGTCTAAAGTCTACAGAAATAAGCCAGCAACTATTCCAGCTTTGGAAGACAACATTTCCGAAGAAATTCGGGCTATTCCGGCCGAAATGCTCGAAAAAGTTGCCCAAAATTGGACTTTCCGAATGGACCACCTAAGACGCAGCCGCGGTCAACATTTAAATGAAATTATCTTCAAAAAGTAAATGTCATGGACCAATCTAACGTTTCAAATAAAGAACCGATGAGATTTTGCAAATTTTATGCGTTTTTTTAAAAAAAAAAGGTATCAAGCTCTTAAAAAATCACCCGTTACATATGTATGAAAACCTGGCCAATAAACGAATAATCTTTAGATACATACAAAAATCGGCACATCTAATGCCAAATTTTCCCAAGGCATTGAAATGACGAAAAAATGTATGCCATATAAAAAAATTCCATGTGGAAACGAATTTAACGACAATTTTCTTAAGGCAATAGCGCAGGTATTTTTTTAATGCCCGATTTTGTTATTAAAATTTGTGTCATTTAATGCTTAGTGGAAATACGGCATTAGAGATTGGGTTTACAATTTTGCTGATAAAGAATTTACCTCTCTATGCTGTTCGAGTAACAAAATTTCGCTCATCACTCTTGTGATTTCTAGTTCCCCGCAAAATGTGCCACATAAATTCGAGTTTAAGTGCTAGAAAAATACACAGAAACTTAAAAATGTGTGTTGTAGCGGCATATTTCTGGCAGCGGAAAAATTAGTGCCAATATCACAAAATTCTATAGTATGTCTTACCAAAAATAGGCTAAAGTTTAAAAAAAAAAATCCTGTAACGGGCTAAACTGGTGGGAGTAAAGCTCAACATCACCTCAAGCACAGCAGCAGCTGTTTGGATAATTATTAAGTGGAAACACCTTCCTAAGGTTTTAACAGTTCTTTAACACCCCCAAAAAGCTTTCGGGAACAGAAGTAGCCACTTGTAGAACTATATTTCTCCTTTTCTTTCATATACTCTCATTCTTTTAATGGCAATACAGTCAATCTATACTTATGCCGATTTCGTTTCTACCGCAAAATGCAACCTTCTTTTTGCCCTCTACGTAAAAACGCTAAGAAGAGGGCGATGAGAAGGCAACATTTTTTGTAGAAACGAAATCGTCATTAATATTGACCAATCTTTGACTTCAAATAAAAAGAACTTTGCTTTTTGGCTTTCGACATCTTCACCAAAAAAAAATATTTTATTTTTATTAAAACTTTTTTAGAGTAACACGCTTTTAAAGCTTTTATCGAACTGAAGTAACGACATTAAATAAAAACTCAAAACCAATATTTTATGTTGAGAAAAAATACACTTGGGAAAATGTATGCTACGTTTTTGTGATCCATTTATATTCAAACATATTTGCACTGTAATACAATTCGAAAAGCAATTTTTAGATCACACAGTTCTTTGAGTTCATTTTTTTCTTCAAATAATTAAAATGGAGCACATTAGGTCACCTGTAAACTTAACAAATTTAGAAGTGTAAATATTTTTAAGACAAAATACATACATATGTATAGATATAAAAGATACTAAAAAAGAGACAAATAGATATAAAAACTTTGACAAGAAAATACATTAATGTATGTATATAGTGTAGAAATATCTGAAATAAAAGAGATATCACATATTTATAGCAAAACGTGTTAAAATACGAAATAGAGATTTACTAAAAAAACCATTCTACAAATAATAAGTAACTGTAATTGTTACCGCCATAACTGTAAAATTATATGCAGTTCAGAACAAAACAAGTTAATTAAAAAAGTCTCAATAAAACGTTAAAATTGTACATCTACAAAAAACAATTGCAAATTGGATTTCCGAACAAATTATTCAATAATATGTAACAAAGAAAATGTAATTTGGGAAAAATTTGAAAAAATTAAACAAATAAATAAGTATTCATTGAAGTTTCCTAATTATTTATGAATTTCATTACGGAACTGTATATGGATTGAATCAATTGAGTTTTCATTCACATATTCACACTGTGCAACAAATTTTTCTAACGCAGAAACTGCCAACGCAGGTTGATAGAACTGATTTCGCAAAGTTAGCTCGCTTCTAAAACATATCGAGCCTAGGCGCCAAGAAGATTTTAGCGACATTTTTTTCAGATTTTATTTTTGATGCGTCTAGAGGATCTAGGAACATTTTTGCATCAAAAAGAAAATTTTGATTACTATGTTTTTTTGTCATGGCCTTACCCAATTTCATTTTTCACTAAATTTGAGTGATTTAGCTAAAGCTAATAAAATTTCCGAGAGACCAATCGAGCCAATTTTCATTTATTTTGTAAGTAGCAATTTCGAAGTAAATCGATTTTCTTGTTCCAATTAATAAATTTTTCATAATAAAAACTAGTTAAAAACGATCGTAGCGTTCCTTCAAAATGAAAAAAAAATCACAAGAAAAATTTCAAATGTTTCACCAAAATTAAAAAAAAAAAATTAAGTTTCTAGAAAAATGTTGGATATGCAGTTTTATAGACCGTTAAATTTTAGTGCAATTTGTAAGAAGCTAAAGGTCACGTTGATTCTTAGTAATTTTTTCGCTAATATTTCCAGCACAACTGTAGGCTAAATTGGGAAATAAAAGCGTTTTCTATACTATTAAAAATCAACGCGAACTCTAAGCCACCAGCAACTTGCATTTTATTATACTAAAATTTAATTAGCTATAAAATTGCATACCCAAAATTTTTATAAAAACGAAAAAAAAGATAATTTTAGTGAACTTTTTTATAACATTTCAAATTTTTCTTTTTATTTATTTTTTTCATTTTGGGAGAATCCTACAATTATTTTCAACTATGTAGCTTTTATATTTTAACCTTTATTAGCTGGAAAAGAAGAATCATTTTTCTGCAAAATTGCTACTTCTTCTGCACTTTGCACTAAAAAATTTAATACAAACAAACAGAAATTTAAAAATCGGACCCAACTTCGCTCTTTCAAATTTTATTAGATTTCATTAAAAAACAGTTATTAATCAAATTGAGTGAGAATTGAATGATCAAGTGAATTGTGAACACAAAATGCCAATTTTGAACCACTGTGCCATGGTCCTCACGATTGTTAGAGAAGTGAGTATTATCCATTTCGTACGTTCTTAAAATATCGATGTTTCTTTGGGTAATATTAAGATACAAGTGTATGTATATTTTTTTGCTCTTTTATATATTGAAGGGGGTGTGAAACGAAATTGATGATTATCAGCTAGTTTTCTATACAATTTCTTGCTTGTAGCGACCAAATCTTCATTACCTGTCTATGCAGATGTTCGCCGCGACCCTACGGCTGCCAATTGATCGGCAGAAGCCACTCTGCCTTAGTAATGAAGTGGTTCGTCCAAAAAGTAAAGATCCTAACTAGATTCCAACACAATGTTCTTTCAAACATTTGAGACGTGAATCTCACTTTATTTCTTAGATTTATCGACAAATATGTATGTATGTGTGTATGTACCGTACATTCGAACGCATTTCTATGGACTACTCTATGCACTCGCACATATTTATAAAAATGCAAATAAAAAATTATTGGTGTTTTAGCTTACATTTATAAATTTTTTTTTATATTTTAGTTATGAAGTTTGTGCAATATACTTAAAAAAAAAAATATCCGTTGCTTGCTGTGTGATAAAAACCGCATTTGTATTAACAATAAAAATTTGAATAAATTAAGTGTGTGGATTTTTTATAAATATTTTTGTAAAAGAGAATTAATCGCTGCTCTAAAATGGCACACCATATTGCGGCACACTGCACGTCTTCGATTGAGTTGTACACTTGCAGCTCTTGCCCGATGGCGCTTTGCTGTTCACTAAACAAATTCGTGCATCAGTACAGCCACCATTGTTGATCTGACAGGCGCTAGTTAATTGAGGGCAACTGTCCTCGATGGCAGTCATACCGTACATTTTGTGACTGCCGAAGAAAGGCGTCTGTATGCCCTTTTGACGATTACCGAAAGCGTCTACGATTTCCAATTTTTTACTATAGTCAAGCAGAAGAAAAGATAAAACTTTAATACGAATAGCAAAATATTAAGAAATAAAACACGTACGTAGTCCAATCAGTCCAATAGAATTGATTATGCGTAAATGTCAAGCCGAATGGATAGGTGAGGTCATTAGAAATCGTGCGTAGCTGCTTGGAGTAGGAATCGATACACTCCACCTTCTTGGTGCCCGCATCGGCATAGCAGAGCTCACCGCTGCTCTCCAGTATGACCAGCGAATTGGGTAAAGTGACGGCGCCACTGCCTAGTAAAAGTTCGCGTCCAGTGCCATCCAGATCGGCCATTTCGATTTTAGGCGATTCGCGATCCCAATCGGACCAATAAAGCTTTCTATAGTAAACAAACTTATGTTAAAAAAAAAACACAGCTTTTTCTTTTTAGAGATAACTCACTCTCTGTACGGATCCACTGCTATGCCACGAGGATTCACCAAATTTTTATTTATCAAAACTGCACGTAACGTTGGATCTTCCAAATTAGCCACCTCAATGGTATCCTTCACTGAATCGGTCCAGTAGATGCGTCGCGAAATGCAATCGATAGCAATACCTTCGGGCGATTCGATATCTGTTTGAATATAAAAAAAGTAGCATTCTAAGTGCCCCAACAACTACTACAATTAAATAGTTACTTACCATCAGCAAGGAATGTCTTGGAGTCCGTTCCATCATAATTAGCGCTAACGATTTTCTTTGAAGAAATATCACCCCAGTAAATGCGTCCCTCTACGCAATCCTTATCAAGTCCAATGGCCATCGATGCAACGGAAATAGGTTTCACGTTTTTGCCATTTAACGGTACGCGCACAATAACGACACCTTGACTCACCAGCAGAAAACCGGATTCATGTTGCTGGCGTTCCAAACAAAGCGAACCATTTCCATAGAAACCTAGAAGATTTAGAAGGAGGGGATTAAAATATGTACAAAAAATACATATGTAGCTGTAGACGGCTAAATTACCGCTTGGAAACCGAAAATTAAAAAATTGTAGGCCAGTATTTACTTAAAAATTGTTCAAAAATATGTTACACAGTGTGCGCCTCAAACTATACAATTAATTCCACTATGAAATAATAGAGTTAATTAGACCGATCAAGACTTCTTCTTGTGGAATTACCTAAAGACCAAGGTAAGCCAACATAAACCAGGCCATCGCTCAATTTGACCACTCGGATCCGTGGCATCACAAGAAACCAAGGCACCATAAGAAACCCTGGCGGACACCCTAACCATGCTATATTCCATACATAATAGCATTTATTGTTCCTTCACATACAAAATAATTTTCGCTGATACCTTTCGCCCATCTTTTTTATTCTATGCCATTTCAACTTCTACCCGTCCTTATCGGAAAACACTTACAACCATTTGTCGGTGTGAGCGGAGATAAAAATACTTCGCCAATTGCTTCTTTTCTTCAAATTACGTGCAGAAAAGTCCTTCTGTGCGTAGTCTTTTCATTTCGCTCGTCCATTTCAGAATCAAAGGACTTTTATCATCTAAAGTTACGATATATCCATTGTACACGTCGCCACGAGAATAACAACATAGATCTACATTTTTGGCGTAAATTGGCTCTCCTGAAATCCTAAATCAGGAACACGTGGCCCTTGGAGAGATTTTAGTTGGCCAGAAAGACCGTGTTGTGATGCTAATTCACAAAACACTATGTGGGGTAGTATTAAGGTAGCAAGTAATTTTAGTGGTTATTTTGAGGAAGTCTGTTCGCTGAGGAGAAGTAGACAGGCAAAATAGCTCCAAAGCTTCAATAAGATGTTTTAGAGTCGGTCAGATATTTGACCATATTCCTACTCTGTGGAAGAAAGTTCGCATAATCTTGTTCATCAAAGGTTATTAGAACACACCAACATGCATAACAGAAGGGCAAACCCTGGTGGATGCACACTACTTCACCCTGTTACAAAGATCGAAGTGGAACTGAATAAAAAGGATTACACAATGTGAGTATTTTCTCATGATGAAGGGTCATTTGCGAAGTTGAGTTTGGAAGGGGATGCCCACCCCAGGCGGTGTACTCTTGTCTCTCTTGTGGTGTTTGGTAGTGTAATACTTCGGTCACATCCAAACTTACGGGGATGAAGTTCTCTGACAGAGGTCTGGCCATAGACACATAGGACTTTGGATAAGCTTGATGACTGGGACACTTTGCAGAGGCCTGCTATTAATCCCAACCATCTGGTACTTAGTGGCATAAGCCTGGGTCTTTCCAAGCAAGCTAAATATCTAGAGCTAACTGAAGATATGAAGTTAATACATCGAGCTGAAGCCAAACTTATCACTTTAAGTAATCTGTCGGTGTCGGAAAATCTTTATTGAGACTTAGGGGCAGGAGCGGCTCTTCTTGCTTTGTTGGATTCGCTACTCCTTAATATAGCAAGCATTATTCAGCATTTTGGCAGGTTTGACGCTTTCGGTCCCATAGTTTCGTTTAGAAGCTTTTCAGTGTTTATGTAGTATATTTTTGGTAAAAAAAAAATACATAATTAGCGTTCCTAGAAGGGAGCTCAGGAGAGGGCAATGCACTCTCTTGGGAAACTGGGTGAACACGTTTTTGTCGGCCAAGACTGAAAGTAGAAGCCAAACAGGGTGATAATAGCATATGTAGATATCATCGACGACCCACTGGGTGAGAAAATAAAAAGAGCCTTCGCTAGACTGAGATGGACGAGCTAAATTTGTTTTTCCTCGACAAATTACTAAGGTTAATAAAATAGCCTAATAAGTTTGCGTAGGAGTAATTATTTCCTATATTCTTAATCTTTTTCCGACCCTTTACAATTCCATTTAATTTCAAATCCCTCAAAAGGCTCCAAAGCTTTTTTTGAAAGAGGGAGGGCCCTACTTTCCAATTGACAAGTCTGATCTCGAGCAGCACGGAAACGCCTTTCCAATGAGAAATGCCAATGGCTGCATTTGCCTTGGATGTTGTGCTCTGAGCATCGGACCCACAACGTAAGAAATAAATAAAACCAAACACTAGTCCTCCTCTTTGTCCTGGCACTTGAAACGCATCAGCAGCTTTATAGAGAAAATTTCCTATTTGTCAAGGCTTTATTTTTCAATCAACATGTCTTTCAGTGTCGATTCAACTTTTTCGATATAAAATTTGGAAAATGTTTTCACAAAATTTTCTGTGTAAAATTCATTATTTGCCAAAATTGTCTGCAGTTCATGGCCTCACCACGAAAACATTGGCAACGCCACAACCAGCGAAGTCCAGGCGAAACTTTGCCACAGTACCACCGACCGCGAGAATAGGTGGGCCACAAATACAAGGCGGCGGCAGCCCAAAGAAGCCAACAATGACAACATTAGGCGGCTTACGTGAATTCCTACTACATCCACTCACTTGGGATCGCAACAACGGTTACTTCAATATATTACTTGGCTTGGCCATTTTTGGGTATTGTTTCTGCACCGCCTGTAAGAGCGAAGGGCCGCGCACAGTTTCGTATGAACAAAGAGGAAAGAAATAAAAATTATGTAGCCACATAAATGGCGTTCAAATGACCTCAAAGCAAAAACATGAGTGGTATTTTTCCTTAACTCCCTAACTTGTATGTGTTTTGACTCACCCTGGTTGCAGACGCAGACCAATCCATTATTGGTAGACAAACATTTGGCGTTCATATCGCACATTTGTGGTGTATTGAGACAGTTTTTATCCTCCACACAGACATAGCCATCGCCGTGGAAACCAGCGTTGCATTGACACTCGTATCTAGCCGGATCGCTGTGGAAATGAGCTTAGTAAAACGTCAAGAAAACACAAACCATACTTTCCGATATACTCACTCGGTAGGCTCACAGGTCGCATGTACGCCACAATTATTACGCACATTGCAAGGTGGCGGTATGCTGCGGCAGCCTTCCAAAGCATCGCCCTCATAGCCCTCAATACAATCGCAATACTGCACACCCTGCACAGAATCCCATTTGCATATCGCATTTGCCCCACAGAAAACTGGACCACAGCGGCCAGCTTGCACGCAGCTATCGGATACGTCTCGCTCGAAACCGGCCAAGCACTGGCAGATGCCCGCATCGCAGAAGGCATTCTGTCCACAGGTGGCATTGCTGCGACAATCGGGCGCCAATTGGCAGTGGTAGCCATCACCTTCGTAGCCTTCTTCGCAAATGCAACGCGACGCGTTATAATCACAATAGGCATGTGCATCACATATATCGCCATTCTATTTAGGGCATTCAATTGTGTATGTACTTATATATTTTGCTAATCAATCTTATTTTCTTGGACTTACATATGTACACGAAGTATCAATGAGTTCGCAATTGTAACCATCTCCTTGGAAACCGTGATTACAGGTGCAGGCATGACGCATTTCACTTTCGTACCACTCACAGGTAGCATTTAGGTGACAGTTGGTATCCACATCACACGGTACTGTAATAAAAATGTGAAAAAAATAAAAAATTAATTTTGTAAGGATAGAAAATCGGCATTTCATTACGAGATTTTGATTAGGATTTAACTTTAGTTAGTTAGTACAAAATTAGACTCATTTAATAGGCCGCTCTAATCGAATGTTGGCTTGGTGGTCATTAAGTTTATTGTGGCGACCAGAAGAGAATTCTCGCCAAAAACCTATTCTTATTATTCATTAGCATAGGAGCTTAATGGTAGCTTCATCGTTACAACTTCCTGATAAATCGGTAAGCAGGCTTATGGACCTGGAAGCTATCTAATCAGTAGGACATTATGCTGTGTTCCACGCTCCTCAAACAATGGCCAACACCGATCGCGATACTCTGCATGTGTCGAGATTAGTTCAAATTTCATTAGTACCGACAGAGCGGCCGCCGTGTTCGAGTTGTTAGAGGTTCGTGCTAGCACTTGGTATAGCCACGAGTTGTTTCCTGGTCTGGTCAACATCAAAATTTGTTCTATTAGCGGCAGCCTTTCGGCAGGTAATAGCAAACCTCCGAGTGTATTTCTACCATTAAAAAATTTAAATAATAAATATTTAGTGCTCACAATCTTGCTAGTGTTTGGCCGAGCTTCTCCTATTTGTGGGGCCCACAGTTTTAAGCCGGATTTACGAGAAGATTTTTCTTGGCAGAAGTACCCTCGGAATTTTGTCAGTGTATGCCGAGGGGCCACCGCTGTTAGATAAAACTTGTTCTGTTTTTAGATGTAGCTCGAACCTAGGTTCTACCGAGTAGCATTACTCTTCTCAAATGACGAATAAACTTCTCTAAAAACTATTTACCTTTCGGAGGTGACGTCAAAATGCGGGCCCCTCCATTTGTATTGTTACACAAATAGGCACTCTGCAAACTGGAGTACCACCTCGGCCAAACACTTAACAAAACTGAGTTCGTCAAATATTCAGCCTTATTCCGATTATTGGTGCAACAGACGTTTATTTTTTATTTAGCAGCAACATCGACCTTATTTTTAATAGGGCCAGAAAAGTCTAGAAACCCCTTTTTTATTGTACTCGTCCGCTTCTACTTTTCGAAAAATCCTCGGGACCTAAAGTATTTTAACCCTCTACATGTGATGTCATAGCTTGACAGACACCGAAAACTCACCATTCAGTCGTAGTTAGAAGGAAAGCGATAGTCGTAGCTCCTATCGAACTCCAGCTTGTGTTAGGTTGGGTTTCCCAATCAACAGCAGACTTGGACTATAGCCAGCAGTCGTTTGTGACACCACAATAAACGGTAACTGCCAGGCTATAGCGGAAAGAAGTGTGTGCCAATAAAGAAAAAGTTTCGCAAGCGAATGAAATCAGTCCCAGTGAGATTCGCAGAACTGATTAAAAATATCGATAAATTGTGTTAAGTCCTCAGCCTTCCAAATGTTGGACAGTCACGGAAAAGGCCGAGGTGTTCCTACTGCACCAGCTTTCAGCAGCTGCCTGATTTTTGGTCTCTCTACATGATTTTCAATCGGACAGTGCCAAACAGGATTAGGAGTTGCGCCTAAGGACGTCCCTTGTCATCAAGACCTTGGTAGAGCCAACATAAGGTCAGTCTGTACGAGAATGTATGTAGTCAAAGGGTACTTATGGTTAACTGTGGTAACAAGCTCATTCAAAAAGCAGTTCCTTAAATAATCCGGCCAGGAAGTAACCATATGCGTCCGAAAAAGCAGCCATTTCCTTCTAGCTTTGAGCGCACCGTGATCAAACCAAAGGCCCTAGTTGTCGCTTGGCGTATTCGAGCAGCTTTCTTAGTGGCAACTACTTCTGCCTGGGAGACACTAGGAAATAATTTTAGCTGAGAAGCTTCTTCTCCTACCAATTGCCGCACTGCAGTAGTAAAGAGCTCGTTCTTTCCTCAATGGTAAGCCTCTACAAAAGCGTACTTAGCAAAAACGAGAAGCCACAGATTGGCCTGTAATCTGCGGGAGAGTTGTGAAAGTTTTGTCTGTTAAACTCCTATTTTTTTCAAAATATAGGCAAGTCCTTTATCCTTATGCCGCATCTTGTTAGAGGCCAACGTTGCAAGCTGAGTAGATATGACGTTGCGTCAATCGACTTTAACCAGATCGAGGATCTTACAACCACCGTATATATTCCGGTTTAATTCGCGATAGTAGGACTTAGTCTTTCTCAATTGCGCCTTCACAGAATAAAAGCGCATTTCACGCATTCCTTCCCAGCTCTCAATATTAACAACAAACTTTTTCACCTCTTATACAACTAAAATACTTACCCAACTCCTCGGAACTATAACGACACATTTGGGATTCCTCGATCAACTCATAACCGTCCGGACAGGTGCAGTCACCCAAAAAGTTGCAATGAGGTTCAATTTGATGTTCATCCAACAAAACCGACACACAGCGCCCGTTTTCCAAAACTTGATCATGACCACAAATTTGATGGCAAACATAGCCATCACCCTCGAAACCGCTACGACACTGACAATGGCTCTCAACACAATCGGCATCGTGTGAACAACGCTGAAGGGTGGAAAGAGAACAACCGCCAAAAATTTAGATTAGATCAATTTGCTGCGCTCACAACCTCCCACAACTCACCTGACACTCATCCTGATAGTTACTGCTAATGATATAATCCGGCGTATATGCCTCCTGCTCCCCAACTGTGGTATCATTTCGCAGACAGCGATAGCCATTGCCCTCGAATCCCTCAAAGCATACACAAGTGAAACCACCCTCGTTGTTGGTACACAGCGCATTTTCGTCGCAGACATGCGTTTGCAACAGACACTCGTCAATATCCAAACACACCTCCAAGCCATCTTCCTGCAACTGCGGTCCATAACCGTGCCGACAATCACAGCGATAGGTGTCTTCATACGGCACACACACTGTATTTTCGCCACAGCTCGCGCTACCATCAGTACAGGCATTCGATTCGGCATCAACGCCAATCTTGGTCAACACACTGGTACGCAAAGCCTGATCCCGCTCAAAGTAATCCAACACAATCTTTGATGCCTTTTGCAATACACTCGTGCCCGTCGGTGACTCTTCATGATCGAGCACACAGCGTTCAAAGTAAATCGACTGATCGAGTTGCAAGTTTATTACACGATTCTCTTCGGGTATCTCAATCATATGCGCATGCACGGAATGCAACTCATTAGCCGACACATACTTGTACTCATCCACATAGTCGGCCAAATGCAACTTCGCATTGCCACTTATGCGCGGCACATCGCCGAAGAGCTCGAGCTTCACAGACAGCTGATCCCAATAGTTGAGTCCCTCGAATGTCTGATTTACAATCAATGTCTCACCAGTATCGAAGCGTACCTTCGACACATGCACTAAGTGTCCACCGGTTAAATGGTAGCCATTCGCGGCGCCCTTTAGTGACTTGGCGAAGAGCCAGCCAATGGCGCTGAAAACTGGTACGGCTAGGCGAAGTTGTGCGCCCAACTCCGCACTTACCGGATTGATGGCGGTGTAACTGCGCGCATCGGCAGTAACAACGTACGACTGCAACTTGGCGCGTTCGTCGATCAACTGGCCATTTATTTCGCCAGCCAATGTGCCAGTGACGCGTATGGGATAATCGTTTTTGAGACAAGCCTTGCCATTGCCATAGTAGCCGTCACGGCAGACACAGCAAAAGCCATTGGCTTTATCATAACAGTCGGAATTGAAGCTGCAGATTTTGTGACCACTTTCAGCACAGGTGGCCGCTTGTGGTGCTGCATTGAGACCTTCCTCATCAACGGGCACTTGTACATTAGATGTTTCATTCAAAGCGCCAACATGGAAGAGCCAAACACCCGGTACGCCGATGTTCGAGTTTTCGGTAAAAACGAAACGTGCCTGCAGAGAGTCATATGAATAAAAAAGTATTTTAATTAAATAAAAATGTTTGAATTATATTTACGCGTAATACTCACACCATCCGTGCCGGAGCCGTCGATGTAATAGAAACGTCCATCTTCGGCGACAAAGCCGGCCTGTGCGCGTATATCGGGCAAGCCCAACGAGCCTGTCTCACCTTGCAGCCAATTAATACCGTTACGCTCGTAAATGAATTGTACAAATGTGTCTTCCTCACTGACGATCAAAACTGCCTGGAAGGTATTGAGCTTATCATTCTTGGCACTGAAGTGACCAACATTCTTCCAAGTGGCCACAATCAGTTTATCCGCCGCGAAGTCAGATCTTTCTGGAAATGCATATTTCACTAAATCGGTTGCCCTTCGCAGCTGTTGTTCTTCAGTCGATTTAAATACTGATATCGAAGTAATATTATAGGCCAGCGTTGTGTCAACATTTGCGTAGAATGGCGCTATCGACGGATACTCCAATGGGAATGGTTGATTGATATATTCGGGAAATTCGATGTTGAATGTTAATATGCCATTAGTGTTTATCTAAAATGAATAAGAACAAGATCAATTGTAATAACTTTGGGTAGAAATTTAAAAAAAAGCTTAAAAAATAGTAAAATAAGAAACTAGCAACGAGGTCTAAGTTCAGGCGAAGCCGTGCAGGAACTCTTTTTTGTAACACTTTCATTCCAGAATAGTATGGCAATTGTAGTAACTGTCTTTCAACTCACCGCAGTCTTTAGAAGGACAAAAGTAAGACAATTGTCAATTCAGGCAGCTCATTACTGTCTTTTGAAAGACAAATTGAAAGATCTGCTAACGAGTCGGCCTTAGCAAAAAATATTTATATCTTTCTTTTTAAAATAATAAAAACTAATAAATAAAAGAAAATTTAATTAAAAAATATAACCATGTTGAATGAAAATAAAGCACAAATAAAAAAATATTTTTAATAATTAATTGTAATTAAAAAAATATTTTTTTCTTTCGAAAACTAAAAAATCTTATTAGATCAAGAAAAATTGTATCTAAAAAGAAGAAAGTAGTACATACCTAAAAATTAAATAAATAAAAAAAAATTTATTTTTTAAATAAAATCTAAAAACTAAAAGAAAACTAAATTTAAAAGAGGCAAAAAAAATTAAAAAGTAAAATAACATCCCAAAATTAAATAAAATAAGCCCAATATATATTTTTTTTTGAATTAGTAAATATAAAAATTTAAAAAAATGCAATTAACACACGAAAAAAAATTAAATCAGAACAGAAAACAGACATGGAATAAAATTTTAAAATTCAAATTACATTGAAAAAAAATGTTTAACTTTTTTAAACAATTAAATCTAAAGTTATGAGTAAGAAATTCAACTATAAAGGTAAAAATTAAAAAAAATTTAAATTTCAATAAATTCTAAAAATTAAATAAAATAAAACAACAAATTACAAAAATTATAAGAAAATTAAATAAGAAAGTGATTCTTTTGAAAGCTAAAAAGCCTGATTAGATCAAGAAAAAATTTTAACCAAAAATTAGAAAGTAGTACATACTTAAAATATAAATAAAGAATAATAATAAAAAAATAAATAAAAAATTAAATGAAAATTAGATTTAAAAGATACAAAGAAAAAAATTTAAAAAGTAAAATACCATCCTAAAAATTAAATAAAAGAAATAAACTGGTAAATACAAAAATTAGAAAAAATGCAATTAACATACGAAAAACAAATTAAGTTAAAGAGTATTTCACTTTTTTAAACAATTAAATCTAAAGTTGAAAGAAAAAGGTTTAACTAAACAGGTAAAAGTTAAAAATAAAATAAATCCCTAAAAATTAGATAAAATAAAACAACAAAATACAAATATTATTACGAAATTAAATTAAGAAAAGAAAAACGATTTAAATAATAAAGAAAAAAATAAATACAAGAAAATTCTAAATGTTAAATGTAATTAAAATAAAAAATTCTGCTTTACACAATAAAATTTAAAAATTAAATTAAAAAAGAAAAAAGGTATTTAAAAGAAGAAAACCAAATAAGTTCCTAAAAATGATATGAAATAGAATAAATACATTTTTCTTTTTAAAACGATGAAAAATAAAAATTAAAAACAAATTCACTTAGAAGAGAAAAAAATGGAAATTAAAAAAATAAAATGGAAAATTAAATTCAAAAAAGCACGCTGCCCTAGGACTTGAACTAGGATCGACGCAGGCTAAATAATATACATACAAGTGGTTGCTCTTAAAATAGCCTTTCTCCACGAGTGATGAATGAGAGAGCTTTTTTTTCGAATACCAAAAATCTCTCAAACTATCTTGCCATCTGTCTTCTATTTGTCTTAGGAACGACTTTTTACTATCCAGGGCCAGAATTGCTCTGTAAACAAAATCTTTCCAAACTAACTTGTCTACTGCCTGGCCAACGACTTTCAACTAGCTTTGCTAGAATTGCGCTTTCAGAGAAAAACATGAAAGTTCATGATCTCACTCGTCGACAGAAAAAATAAGCGGTAAAAAATTAACTCTTCCAACCATTTTTGTATAAAATTAGTCGAAAATTTGTCGCTATGGGACGTAGTTGCTACTTAAGCACATACTTAGTGGACATGATTCAATAATTAAGGGTTTGCTCACTAGTGGCGTTAGAGTTTAGAGGGAGTGTCCCCTTACAAAAGGTTGCGAGAAAACTGTTTTCTGAGCAAACCTTTTATCATGCCTACTGGGCACATTTTTATATGGATGACCACTGTAGATATGGTGTGGAGAGAACTTTGGTCTACCTCTTCATCTTATTTGGCACTATAACTCCTTCAAAAAATTGCGCCGGTTCGAGTGTAAACTGGTCCTTCGGGACTTGGACAGTCCATTGTGTTTGTAGGGGTGCTTTCTTTCAATTTCCCCATTGGTGCTTAGTCAAAGGATCTCTTCACTGCAGCGTCATCGACCATACGGTCAACATGTTAGCTTTCAAATTTATTACAAATATTTATCATTGCGAAACACCTTTGCTCCAAATATACACCAATTGGATGGTACAAAAAGCAAATATGTACTCGTCTAGCGATTGCATTGTTTATGTTCCATTTAGGAATAATTATTCAACTATTGCTGTTGCTGCTGTTGCTGCTGTGTTGAAAACCGGGAATTTCGAAAAATATATAACATACATATGTAGCTATGGATATTACAATTATTCTACACATTTGCATGTTTCGGGTTGGTGGCATACAAATTCCCACAAGCAACCCCACAATGCAACAAAAACATTAAAGTTACCGCAAATAGCTGCAGCCATGAAAAACATGTGTGGCATATGCCACAGCTACTGTTGCAACACATTGGTTCTTACTGTGTGTTGTATATGTATGTATGTTTGTATGTATGCATATCTGCATTTGTGTCTGTCGCTGACGGTGGTGTAAAGAAATATCTATAGAAAAAAACCATAGCGCTGAATTAACGAGGGTGGCTCAATTATTCCGTGAGTCTTTGAATTGCCAGCGTTCAATTTGCAGTACTTATTACCGCTCAACATGAAGGTCCGCATGCATCTCAGGTTCAACTCAGAGAGTTCCTAGCGAATTTCAATGAAATACAATCAATCATGTAAAATTAGAGAAAATCTAAAAGGAATGTGTGTAAGTAAATGGAGAGAGACTATGTTGGAAATAAGTAACTTTTCAGTCGAAACCCCTCTTTTTTCTCTCCTATAGGGAACTCTTCTATTATACCACTATCATATGAGGGACGATTAACTTTTTATTCAAAAATTACCGAACTTATTCAGCCATCCTCGTATGTATGTATGAATGTTTATCATGCATAACAACAACAGCACAAACAGCACTTTTAATTGCTGTTAAAAACTCACAAATAAATACTGGATTTCCTCAACACTTAGCATATGTTTAGCAAAAACAACATAAACAATAGACGCTCATACTAAATTTAGAACCTAAGCAAATACTGTTGATCATGTTATTGTTGTTGTTATTTCTTAAGTACTTTTGCAATGCATTTGCAACGCCAACAGCCAGGGAGAAGCGCAGTGAGTGCAGCATTCACATCGGGCATCAACAATTCCCTGTGTTTATTTGTGAAATGAACCATGGTTGAGTCGGTTCAATGCTTGTTGGAATGCGTGCGATCGATGCATGATTTGAGAATGATGAACGAAATCGGTTGGCGGTCGCCCACTGTAGAACACAGATGCATATTTTTCAACTTAATCATCGAGTTTATGTACATATGTATGTATGTTGTTGTGCTTTTATTGCTCTGTTGTTGAGAAAGAAGACAACGTCTCGTGCATACACATACATACATACATATGTATTGTTATTGTTGCTGTTGCAACTCTGACGATTAGTCACACCAGCAGCAGGGTGGCGATGCGATGCGATGCAAGTCAATTAACAAGCTCATTAGAGGGGCAATTACTTAAAAAAAATATACATATGTACGTATGTACACACACACAATCATAAATAAAATTTCTTATGTACTATATATGAGAATGCAAGTACAGATGTAAGTAGATTACCATCAATGAAGTAGTTTTGTTTTTATTTATTGCATACTGCACATTCATTTTCCATTTTATTTTTATTTTTATTTTTTTGCCGACCCTTTTCATCGCAAGGACCCAAGTCTCTTGACTACATATTAACGGTTTGTTTGTGTTCATGCGCTTAAGTGCTTATGTATAAGTATGCGTGAATGTATGTCCATGTGCGGGAATTAAAAGCCATTCTGTATTCCAATAATATGTACATATGTATGTACATTAGAGTGGTCCAAAAAAATAAAGTCGGAATTTTAATGCCGGCACCTCCTATGATTGTTCTATACCAAAAAAAAAAATATATACCTATTTTTTTTATTTTGAAAACAAAAAATATTTAGGGAGTGCTCAAAGCGCTCAAAGATTCCTGTGGTTCTCTTCAGGAGACTTCCAGTATTTATGCCCAGTTGTTTATTTAACCCATTTTTAATATTAAAGATTTTTGTTGGCTGACCTATAAAACATAGTTACCATAAAAAAATGGTTAAAGAAACAATTGGGTATTATTAATGGGAATCTCCTGAATAGGAACCAAGTATTCCGATCTAAAAATATTGATTTTCAAGAATTCTGCACCATTTCTACGAAAAGTTAATTTTTCCCATATAAAATACATACATGAAAAACTTTGAGCGCTTTGAGAACTCCCCAAAATTTGTTTTTATTTCAAAATAAAAAATAGGGGCATATGTTTTCGGTATAGAATAATCCTAAGGGGTGCCGGATTAAAATTCCGACTTTACTTTTTCACATGCAATTTTGGACCACTCTAATGTAATATATACATATGTAAGTACGCATATGTACATTTTTTTATGCTCTCATTTGTATATTGCAGCGCCCATTCTTAGGCGTTGTGCTTGAATACAAACTTACGGTACTTAGCAACACTTTTACTTACATACGTTCCAATAGTTTTACTGTTATTGTTTTCGTTGCAACATAATTAAGCCTACATAAACTATAGCGATAATTTA